AGTTGACGTTAATGAAGAAAATTCTACTGACTACAATCAGCTGGAGCATGACCACCAAGTAGATGCTAATGAAGAAATTTCTACAAGTTATCAAGCACAGCGTGACCATCAAGCAGAGATTAACAAGGAAAATCTTACTAGTTACCAGTTGGAGCTCGATCATGCAGGAGATATCAAAGAAAAAGATTATGTCACATCTCAACTGCGGCAAGATCATCACGAAAACCTCAATAAAGAAAATTCGACAAGTTTCCAAGTGGAATATGACTATCAAGCAGACAATGATAAGGAGAATTCTACAAATTATTATCAGCAAACCAGCGATGATTCTTCATACAATCGTGAAAATCAATCTTACCCTATTATATTACCAACTTACGATGTATATTACAGTCAGGAAAATGAACTAGATTGGTTTTGGGGATCAGAAGCAGAAGGCAGTGACGAGTGCAATGACGACAAAAAAAGTAGTAGCCCGGCAAAAACGGTAATGATAAATAACTTTCATTGCATTTTACTGCTACTTAGGTTAAGAAAACAGGAAATGCTTGGATTATTCAATTCAAGCATTTCCAGTTTAAAGAGTATGCTCTTTCATAAATGATCAAAATAAAATTATGCAAATAATTTACGTTAAACAATGGCCTGAATGAGTTTTGATTAAGCAAGGAAATACTTTACTAGTTAGCCTTCCTGCTCTTTAAACTAGACGATTATGCACATTTCTCTTCTGAAAGGGGCCGATAAAAATGTTTAGTTAATCATTCTAGTTAATATTACTTTCCTTTTTTCAATTCCATACATACCTTTCTTTTTTCAATTCCAGACGAGTCAAAGAATAACCAGTAGTGTTCCTTTGCAAATGATTCAGAATAGTTCGAATGAAATTCCAGATTCAGCAAATATCCCAAAAAGTACTGCAGATAGTATAAAACCCACAGTATCGACATCGCAGGACCAATATTTTTACCAAAACTTTAATTTGTATTCAGGATTACCTTCAAATACAGGTAATAAATGTTGAAAAAGTAAGTGCAATCAACAGAATTTCTTGTACTTCATTGTTGGTTAGTAAAACTTCAGTAGTATGAAAAACAGATTAATACGGAGCAGAAAAGAGAATTAAGGGCGGCAGTACTGCTATTTTTTCAGATCATGATGGAACTCAAATCAAAGGCAATCAATTTACTAGGGATCACGGAACACCACAATGCTCAACAGCTGGTAATTCTGGTAACATGCCATCATCAAGTCTAGAAGCAGAAAGAAAAAAAACGGTAACTGCTCCCGAACATACAAAAACATCGCAAGCGCAAATGCAATCACCAGCCACATCTTTCACCGAATACACTCAATATGACCCCAATTCAGTACCAAATATACTCCCTCTACCCTTCATATCTTCTCACACTCTATATCCCGTACTACGAGGTAACTTTTTTCTTTTTGTTATTTCAAAAATAGGACGAAATTCAACAATAATTAAAAAACTTAAAATTAGAAATGAAAGCTTATATTAAACTCAAATTCATGCTTTTAAGATTCAATGTTTTATATCTAATGTAAGCCAAAAATTTCTAAAAAATTTGTAAAAATCCGAAATTATGTAGATCATCTTGCAGCCTTACAGCAGTGTTTGCCTCATCAACTAACACAGGCCTCGCAGTCTTCAACTACTACTTCTCAAAATGCAACTACTACGCCTCAGAGTGTGACCACTTTTCCTCAATATTTAAATGCTCAGTTAGCTAACTATAGTTCCTGTGACTCTAACGTAATAGATAACAAGTTAATTGTAATACCTAAAGGAAGACCAGTATTATCTTCAATTTATTCCTCTTTCACATTATCATATGAGTTGATTGGCAAAGATCCAAACCATGATGACAACTTATGCATTATTTGTGACGATAAATCTTCGGGATATCATTACGGTGTAATCTGTTGTGAAGATTGCAAGGTGACTCTTACACATTCAACTTTAATTGCAAACAATTAGATGTACGATTTAATTTAGGCAAAGTAAACAAAACCAAATGTGAGAAAGAAAATTTATCAGATAATGACTAATTATGAATTTTTGTCAACGTAACTTTCATTTAATGTATCAGAAGTGCAGGATGAGGACGGTATGTTTTCAGATGTTTTTTCGGAAGTCAGTTGAGTTAGACTTACCTTATATCTGTTACAAGCAAGGAAGATGTTCAGTTGATCGAAAAGTCCGTAACAGATGTCGGGGATGTCGTTTCAGTAAATGCCTTCGAGTTGGTATGCGGCGTGAGCTAGTATTGTTGGATCGTATTCAAAGAAGATTAATAAAGGATGACGAGTAAATGAATTAATTTATTACTTTAATCAAAGTCTTGATTTTTAATTTCATTTATCGTTCATTCTTTATAATAAGCTCATAATAATTGTGTTACACATTTTATGAAAAAGGCATATTAAATGAAGCAAAAATTGAAAAAGCATATTTTAAAAAAAATTTAAGCTACAATAGAGAAGACGTCAAAGATTTGGACGAAACGCTAGAACTAGCGCAAGTAATCATTGGAATGTATAGAAAAGTATTTCCATCAACATTAACTATCAGCAATGAAACAGATGCTATTGAACGAGTGCATTATTTTTATAGTAAAATACCACAAATTGCGCGGATCAATGAAATTGATCACGAAATGATCGTAAATAATGGCGTTAAAGTAGCTCTGGTAATTTTAGCTCAAATTTTATGAGTTTCGTTTTTAATTCTGCAACGAAAAATTTTGAGACATAGCATGAACAATCTTTTTTGAGGTAACATTAAGGTGTTGGAAAATGAAATGCAGCAGAAATAGACGAAGAAAAAGCTGGAATAATAAATATACTGAAAATTTTACGTCAAACTTCTCAGTTTCTTTCTTCTATTAGCTTTACTTCAGCAGCCTTTGAATCGATTAATTCAAAGGCTGCTGAAGTAAAGCTTTTTTGATATTCTAGTGCGATATTTGCACCATTTAGGTATTACGAACTTTATTCACATCTGAGAATTATGAGAAAATTGTGGGTGATCAAAAGGAAACCTTAAAAGTACTTGGAGAAGATGGTCTGGGATTCCCAATTCAAAGCAATGAGTTGGCCTTACTAACAATATTATATTCACTTCATTCTGCTTCTGCAATGCAAGAACCAGCAGTAATTAACAAAGTTAGCATTTAATTTAATAAAGTTTCGCACTGCAAAATGGTGCTTAAATTGAATATCAGTTTTTACTTAAATTTGCAAATTACAGCTTATCGATGTACGTAAAGATATTTGCTTTGCAGCTTATATCGCAGCTTCTAAACTGCATTTGTATTCATTTCCTGACCTATATGACGACAGATAGCAGTAAAATTTTCAATTATTATCTGAAAATAGGATTTTTACTGCGTGCGATTGTTTATCAGCAACCTCATACATTTACTCGCAATGAAAGTATGGGAAAAAGAGTCGACAAATGAAAGACTGCACCGAACGAAATTTAGTGCATGGAAGATGATGTTTTTTGGAGATGATTTTTATTTTTTCACATCGAGTGATATACGTTAAGCATAATATTTCTGACCCATACATAAAATGACAGATAGAATTGGTCAGTTTCTTCACATTACAAGTCCATTTAATTATATTTGCTTACGTAAACGTTTTCATTTTTGAAGGAAATGTATTTCTAATCTTTTTTTATAATTGAAGCAATCACAAATCATAAAGTCATATTATTGAATTGTGTGATTTATGCATAGAATCCTTCGTCATAAATATCAAGCATTGTACCACATAATCATTTCATTATTATGACCTTATATTTTGTTTAATGTATTCAGAGCGCGTTTTTTTTACTATTCTTATTTAATTTTATATAAATGTCACAGTTCAAAAGAACAAATTACTAGAATGTGATGATAATCAGTTTGTGAGTACTGTGTATTATTCATTCCCTTATTTCTGGTATGAAAAAATATATGAAATAAATGTGAAACACTGCAAGTTGCCTTAATTAGTTATGCCAGTTTCTTTTCGAATCGTTCAACCGTGCAAATTCTCACTGCATAAGTAAGAAGTGACATTTTAGTCGTAGCTCTGGATTGTCACGTCAGTTTTCTACAGACGTTTTCTACTTAAAAAAGCATAAAACACAAACGAATAATGATAATAGTACTGAAGGAGTAACAAGTGTGGAACTATTTGAAGACTGGATTATAAAGCTCAAATCAACCAAAAAGTTGTGGAAAGTGCAGACGTAATTGCAAAAAAGTACAAAAACATTTTAAAAGCTGCCTAGCCAATTCACCCGCAAAATCACTGAATGCCCTAAGCTAAATTACTTTTAATTTGCTTGAAGGACAGAGCTATAAAAATGGTTCTTTATGACATCAGTGCAACTCTGTTAAAATTATCAGTTCAGCAGCAAGCACGAATTTTCACGATCTAAAAGAATATTAAAAAACAACACTTGTCAAAGTTACAAAAATTGATTGGTTAGCATCAAGTGTATTTTGGTTTATTTCTGGAATTCAAAGTTTTTTTCTAATAAAGAAGGCAACTTTCAGCATTTTAGAGGTAAGATACTATTTTCATGTATATTCTAAGAATGTGAAGAAGGACTCAGAGATGCCTTTATTTATAAAGTAAGATAAAGTTAAACAGGCCAAGTTCAGATGCATTTATAAACTTAAATTTTCTCTCAGTCAAAATGAAGCATATGCGCTGCTTGTATGAATTAGATCATACCAAATATAAGATGTCCCAAAGGTAAACATTTAAATAAATTATATATGTGAGCATTTTAAATGAGACTTTAGTTCATCATTAGAAATGACGTCTCGCAATAACGAAGATTACACAGTTGTGGTTAGAGACTGTATTCAGCAATTCACTTGTAACGCAGTAGAAAATTCCCATAAAGCTATCACACTGAAAATTCAGATTGCAAAATGCCCATTGATGCAAAATGCTTATTGATTGCGTTTATTTTCTTTTATAAATTTAAACTGTATTGTATCGATAATATTATATGAGATTAACAGTCTTTTATATTTTGAAGTGTTTCTTCTGCGAAAAACTGGGATGTTTTTAAATACATAACCACAAAGGGGTTGATTTTTTGTATCTTCATAATTTTTTCTTCAATAATTTACTATTCCGGTGCATGAAATTGTCGACAGTTCAATACTTGAGCTTTGGTATAAGTGAAAACTACGTAAATATCGTGTGGTGAAAGGAAATCTTATTGTAATCGCGCCATTAAATTCAGTCTTACAAATATAATAAGCTGAATATGTGGTGAAAATTTCTGCAGTAGTGTAGTATACCTTTTTCAAGAATTTTATTTGGAATAAGTTATTTGCGATTTCAACAGGCAGTTTTGATTTAACAAACTTGATATTGTGTTAAGAACAAAAGTATTCGAAAAAAGGAGGAGAAGGCCTATCAGTTATTTATGATCACTGGAAAATGATTTAAAACCTCTATTCCTGATGCAACAATAATTTGGTTGTAGTCAATAAAATAGTAATAATGATTACAGTATGCTTCCTTCTTTCAAAAACTGCTACAAAACTCTTTACAAAAATTAAGCATAACAACTATTTTTGCCAAAAAATATCTGTTAATTTTTCTAATCATGATTTTCTACAGTTTTCATTTTTTTTAAACATATAATACATTATCATTCACCGAAGGTAAAATCTAAATTAGCCGGTTGCAATGAAATTGGTGATTTTTTAAAAGTTTACTAATAATTTTTTATTTTGCCTTTCACTTGACTCTTCAACATATGATTTAATGCAAGTACTATAATTTTAATATCTGAATGAATAAAAAATTTTTGCATATTAAACAAAACTTATTAAGGTATTAATTAAGTAGTAATCATCCCTAATAGCAACATGATTTTCCCTACCATGAAGTCATCTATTATGCTTTTTGTGCCTAAACTACACTGCTGCAAGTATTACAGTGAGACCGTTCTTTTACTGCATGAAGTTCATAATACTGTTCAACAGCTGTTGATTTAGGCAGAGATCAGATGCAGTAATGACATCTTCCCTTCAGACATTATAGAGCATTACTAACGCAATTGTCAGGAAGAATGTTTGAAACGAATAAAATGGAACAAACATTACAGTCAACAAAATTGTACGAACTAACAATACTGAAAAGAGCTAAGGACAATACTTAATTTTGAGGAAAATTGACTAAAAAGTTCCATTTCTGTCATTTACTGACATGCAACGTTACACTTTCTAATGACTGCCGGTTGATTGTGTTGGTTCCTTACAGATGTTTATTTAGAATATTTTCAGCCGCTAAAAAAACAAAAGCTGGTCTGCAGGGATTATCCGATGTTCAGGCAGGGGTCTCAAAACACAAAGCAGTCTGAATTATGACCGAATACACACTCAATCGTTTAATTCTCTCATTTTTTGTTATTTATCTCAAATCATTTCGGTCAAATTGTTAACGTACTGAAAAGTATTTGATTGAACGTGGATTACGTGAATCAATTTCTTCTCTCACAATGAAAAATCTTCTATAAGAAATAAGTACGCATAAATAAAACTTACACCAAAGCAAATTATACAAATTTGGTCAAAAAGGATAAAGAATAAGAAGCTAGCAAGGAGATGAATTTTCAAATTTGAAAGATCACAAACAAATAAATTATTTTGAAAATTTGTTCCAAATTGTAGCACTTTATTTCAGCCTGTTTTCTTTTCATGTCTTCTGCACACACTACTCTTTTATTTTTGCATTTCTTTTTCGATCTTATATTTCTTTCCTAATTGTGAGCTATTTTTTGATCAATAAAATCCATTTAATGACTTATAAATGATTCGACGACACAAGAGCTCTAAATCTTTCAGTTATAAAAATCTATCCCTCTCATCACTTAAAATATGAAACGCAGATATGACTTTTTCTTCTTAATTAGTCTATTAATTCACGCACTTAATGCAGTTTAAGTTAAGCTTCAATATTAAAGCATATAAATCATAAAATTATTCATTACTTTAAAATACAAATTTTATAGTAATAAAATGATTTGTTGCTAACTGCTTAATAATTGAATTCTATAAGATATCAGTACTTAAAGAAATCATTCCATCTAAGTTTAAAACAAATTCTTATACATTTGCATTCCAAATCAATAATGATAGAAAGCAGTGAAAATAACAAGCAATATATTGCACAAAATATTGACTGCAGAAGAGAGGTCGTTGAATGGACTAAATACAAATGAAGCTGACCTCAGGATCCTGAGGTTAACTCTTCGACTCAATCTCCAAGTAACAGATCTATGAAAAGATTTCTTATGAGATAAAATTTTCTTGTCTCCGCTACATCAAAAATGGAACCCTGTAGCAATATTTCGACAAAAATTCAAATAATTTGCTAATACCTAATTTTTTATAAACTTACTACCCACAATTATGCTCTTTTCCTACTTACACAATTAAAACTCTATGTACGAAAGAAGATGAAACTGGCAGTTCTATCCTTTCTTTGGAGCATCGAAAATACTCTGAAGGGAACTTTTCCTTCTTGACAGTTTTCCATTGCAAATATTTAGTTGAAAATACCGATTTAGCACAAACTAGTATGACAAATATAGGAATTCTTTGAAGATACAGTAAGTTCTCAATATATTTGTATAATACTGCCTAAATTACAGCACAGTACAAAACTGACTTCACTTCTCGGCCAAAAACTATCTTTACTTTCGCTCCAAAACTAAATTTTTCAAGCAAATTTAGAAATGATTTTATACTGTAATATACAAAAGTCCAAATATGTTCAAAAATCTTAGATGAAATGACCCAGATAATTACAAATATTTTCTAAATCTGCTTCTACCATTGAAAGATTGTGACTATGCATGCATATTTCTTAAATTATCACGATTAATTGTTGAAAGCCGTATCAGTTTTTGCCAATTATAACGGACAAATCCCAACCAAGTGCGCAGAAACCTGGTGAAATCTGTCCATAATGCATATTTCGATCATGAATTTTTGTCGTAACAGAATTGATCAGTGACCTTCCCTCTCAAATTGTAGACATCCTTTTTCTGCAAGTCCTATTAGTCATTTTTGGATCTAAACCGCTATTTTGTCCGAATGATCAATGACTGGGCTATTGTACCATTCTTCTTGCTCTATATGATTTTCACCAGAACCACTAACAGATAGTATCGCTCTTGCTCTTTACAAAAACTATTACCCCCCATAGAAGATAGTACTGTTATGTAACAGGAATATCTATTTTTCTATAACACACCCAATCTTAATTCCCACTCAGAACCTGTGCTGCTCAGTTTAGGTCACTCACATCGTTCTTTAGTTTGCCTTTTCAGCAACAGGTCAAGTTCACTTCCATTCCATATAGCAAGCCATTACATCACCTTATATATTATCCATGTAGTTGTTTTATAGAGAATTTTTCATTTCGAAGTATTGCCCTTCGTGCTTTGAGGTTATCTTTTTATTCAAATCACTGAGAATATGTTTCTTTCTCAACCTTTCACTGTAACGCTTTACTTCTTTAATCCCACTTAACCAGTTTCGTTTTTTAGTCAAATATCCTTTATAACTAGAATTTCCTTTCTCAAAAAAACTCATAGAAACCTAACCGAAAATATGAAAAATTCGTTCATTTCTTCTTGCTTCCATAAAGTTCACCCATGACTTTTTGACGCTTTCGTCAACTATTTCAGATTTGTCAGTAATTTTCAAAAAATTAATAATTATTCTTATTACTATTTCCATTCTGTCATCATAAAAAGGAAAAGAAATGTCTCAAGAAAGCGAAGATACATCAAAGGATGTCAGGAGTCAAAATCCAACATCGGTGCCGTTTTGTTATCCATTTTCAGCTTTTCAACCACCAGCTTTGAATGTTCCATCAAGCAGCAGGATTGTGCCTCCTCCTATCCGCGCTCCCATCCTTCCAGCTAGTGTTACAAGTGTGTGCAGTACCATGTATCCGTCTAATAATGATGATACTAATATAATGAATAATAGCACCAATGCAATCATTAGTAACGTCAGTGATAACAACGTAGAACCCATATATGTTCCTGCTGAACACATCACTCCACTCTTGCCAAGCAATGATTATCCTGGCGCTCTTAACACTAGGCTCGCAACAGCTTTTGCTGATCCCTCTCCACAACAACAAGGCACTCCCTCATTTGAAAGCACCAATTCTCTCCAAGAAAGGTGTTTGACTTCACTGCCCGGTACATTACCTATAGTGAACAAAATGAACTTAACACCAAGTTTAGCAGGCTTTATTCCAGTTGTTGGTACAACTGCAATTAGTCAATTCATGCAAGGATTCAGGCAAGCACAAGCTAGTTCTGTTCCTCATCATCGTTATAACCCCATCACTGGTTACCATTATGCTGCACAAATGTTACCATCTTTGATGAATAATCAAGTGTCTAATTTGCTAATGCTCAGTGAACAGCAACTTAAGAGGGCAAGAGATTCTGCTTTACATAATTTAGAAATGGCACGTAATTTCCTTGAGCATATCATAAATTCTAGTAAAAATCTAATGTCTTCACTACAATCTCGAGCAGAAGATTCAATGATTCAAAGACAAGAAGAGAATCAAGTTGGGCCATCATCATGCCAGTCAACACAGCCACGAAAAAAACGAAAAAATCGGCTACCGAAGATGAAAAAAAAACAAAGTCAGCAAAAGCAATTCAATTTACTACGACAACGAAAAGATTTCCAACAACAAAAACAATGTAAGTTGCAACGGGAAGAAAAAATGAAACAGCAGCAGCAATGGCTGGAAAAACATGAAGAGCTTGAGCAACAACAACAACAGAAAATGCAACTTCAGCAACAACAAAGAAGTCAAGAGTGTGAAAAGCAACAAGAACTCCAACAACATCAAGAACTGTGGCAGCAACAGCAAAATAAACAAGAACAACAGCAGCAGAATGATATAGATTTAATTAATGTGAACAAAGAATTCAGTTTGCTCTCAACAACACAACACTATGTAGCTCCAGATTCCACTACAGTTCTGAATAAAGAAGTAACAGCGAAGTATCAATTGAAAAGTACATCATCAAGCTTTTCTTTCCAGTCCTCACCATCTAAATTACCGACATCTAAGAGTCAATGCATGAATAACGATCAGTCAGCAATTATCGCTCCATCATCAACGTATTTGGTGATTGGTCAGTATCCACCCACAAGTAACGAATTGCCTAGCAAAACTGTAGTTCAGTATTTACCTGCTCTATCTCCACATTATGGCACCGAAAATGATCGTCAATCGGAAGAGCTAAATGAATCAGGAACTGAAGAGACCAAAGACTGCAATGATTTACAGTATGTCGAAAAAAGTGATGTTGCTGACATGGTAATTAGATTAATTTTATATTATCACTTATGTATACATAAGAAAAGAAAAACAGATGTATTAGCTTCTTTGAAATCAAGAGTTATTCGGCACTAAATCATGAGAAGTATTTGAGACTGCAAAGTTTTTTTTTTCAAATACATAAGCATGACTTTTATGCTATTTACTTCTGTTTTCTTAGGAGTATGTCCTTAGTTTCAGATAAACCAGCAAACAACTGGCACTCCAATTCAGAACTGCTTAAGTGAAATAGCTTCTCTGATAAGCCGCGGATGTGTTCACAGTAGGTCAACAACAACTTGTACGGAGCATACTTCTGCTTCAGATTTTTCTCATGCTTCAAGAGTCCCAGAAAGAAGTGCAGATAATACGAAAATATCTACTATATCAATACAGCAGCAACAACAACCTGCTGTTGAAAAGCATAATTTAGATTCTGGAATACCATCGACTGAAATCATTTTATCAAATGACAAGGATGAAGAGACTGCAAATACTGCTCAAACAGTGAATTCAGAAATAATCACAATGCCATCAACGACTGCAACAGCAACTACAAATCTGATGATATCAAGTCTCAAAGTGCTAGACAATATAGATATAGACAACCACCTTGATGAAGAACTGAAAGGATCATCAAGCTCAATAGAGAATACAGCTTGTAACCAGTTGACAACAGCGCCACAATCGCAACGATCGACGGTATTGGCTGGCACCATGGAAAATCCTGAGGTAATGCAAATTGCTGAGACTACTTGTAATAGCGACCAATCCCAAGCACAGCAGTTATCAATATTACCATTTACTGAACAGTTTGGACCCAATCCTCATTTAGCACCACGGATATTGCCATTCATATATCCCAATAGTCTACAGCATCAGCATGTACCACAGCCATTACAAGGTAGGCTCCATTCTGCTCATTTTAGTAATAAAAATCAAACTGTTTATGAGGGGTGATGTGATCACAAGATTAAAAATAAGAAACTGAGCCCTTTGTTAATAATTTTATGATACAAGCGATCTTTTACATTCAAATTTCTATAGAACACACAAATAATAAAAAACCTATAGATAATATTTCAGGTACGCAGCATTACATACCTTATCAACTAGTACAAGCTTCCAGCCCTTCAATAATTCAACCACCTTATCAATACTCATCAGGATATAGTATAACAGCTAATGGAATAATGTCAGGACCAGACGGAAGGCTAGCGCCACCTTCAGTTTGTAATTATTTCACTACGACAGAACAACTGAATACTGCAGATTTAAGTGCAAATCAAGATGACAATTTATGCAGTGTTTGTGGAGATAGATCTTCAGGAAATCATTATGGTGTACGAAGCTGTGAAGGGTGTAAGGTGAATTTGCGTATTTTTAACTACAAATTTTATTAGAAAGTTTTAAAATATCAGCATGAAACATTAAAGCTACGCTTGTTTTGCTTTGAGAAGGAAAATAATTTCGAGAAAAACAACATATTCGAAGTCTTTTAGCATAAATAAATAATTGCAATATTTGGTCGTCTTTTCAAAGCATGTTCAAAGTATTAGTAAGTAATAAAACATAACATACTTAGCTCTTTTGACTTTTTTCTGGAAAAATCGCAAGAACAAATTTAACATTGACAGCATTTCAAAATAAATTCCATCTTTTATTACTGAGAGTCAATCTCACGTATGAAAATGTATTTGCAGGGTTTCTTCCGAAGGACAGTTCAAAGGAATTTCAACTATACTTGCTATAAGCAAGGAGCTTGCAAAATTAATTTAAAAACTCGGAGCAAATGTCAGCGTTGTCGTTTGACTAAATGCCTTAAAGTTGGTATGAGACAAGAATCAGTACGTTTAGAACGCATCCGACGCAAAAATTTGAACGATAACAAGTAACTAAATTGATTTGCCATTTCTAATAAGAAATAAAGTTCTAATAAAAAAATATAAATCTTAATGTTAAAAAAATGACAAGGGAATAAGTTTCTAATATAGGTGATAATCTCACTGAACTAAAGGCAAGACTGAATGTGGAAATACTTCAGAGAAGATGAAGACTACGAAGAAATAGCTGAATTGAAGCAAACAGTTGTTCAAGCTTATCAAAAAGCATTTCCACCAACACTGAAAATAGAGAACCGAGCAGATGCTGTTGAACAAATGCATGTTTTCTTAAGTAACATACCATATCTGGCTGAAATTCATGAAAATGATCGGGATATACTCATGAACACTGCCACCGAAATAGCTCTGGTAGTTATTGACTGAATTTTGAATTAATTTGCCTTTTATTTACAAAGAAACGTAATAATTATTGTATATGATATATAAAAATATGCAAATCTTTTCGAAAGAAAATGAAGTGTTAAGAAAAATATCAAAATGGACACAATTTTGGATTTCCATAAAAAACAGTTTTTAATTTCATTGAAATCAAATTCATCAATATTTTGTTAGCTGAAGAAGTTTATGGTAAATCTAATTTAATACTCGCACGATTATAAATAGATTACATCTTAAGGTTTTGCGAATGTTATTCACAGCTGAGAATTATGAATCAATTGTGGGTGATCAAAGCAGAGCTTTAGCAGAGGTCGAAGCGGGACTAGGGTTCAGTGTTGAAGAGACGGAACTGGCACTATTAACAACATTGTATTCACTGCTTTGTACCAATAGAATGCGAGACCCATTGAAATTGAAAAAGGTATATATTTAAAAAAGCACAACTTTACTCAATTAATTCATAATTACTTTTTATATTTTCGATTAATGGAGCACGAAACTTGGAGTACTTTCCATTTTAGTTCACATCAGAAATAGTAAACTGCCTGCGTATTCATCTTACGTCAAACGTAGACGGGAACACCCACAATGCTGTTAGTGGATTTTTAGTGGAAATAGGAATGCTATTATCTCATATTAATACTGGTGGAATGTCACATTCAGAAGTTATAAACAGAAAGTGAGAAAAATTCTTATTCATTTAAATTATTTAAACCGTATTTCGTATGATACACATTTCGAACTAGTTTTTATATAAATGTTGTTGGAATCTAGTTAGTTCATGAAGTGACTTATACTTTCGTAACTCCTTTACTTTACGAGTGAAATTTTTTGGCTGTTTTTCAGGTATTTAGTTTTTTAGCTTATGTGTCGAATTAAAACGCTTGGCACATCGTATATGTTCGCTTCATAACAAATATTATTTCATTTCATTTTTCAGTTTTTGTGATTATATTGTCTACTTGTGTATTTTTGTGCATTCTCCTATGTTATATTTTGAATTAAATCTTATTACGATAAAAAATGTCATAATAACGTCTCCAATTATTTTTCGTTCGAAATTATTTAAATCGTATTTCGTATTATACATATTTCGAACCAGTTTTTATCTAAATGTTGTTGGAATCTAGTCAGTTCATGAAGTGACTTATACTTTCGTAACTATCTTTACCTTTACGGATGAAATTTTTCGACTGTTTCTCGGATATTTATTCTTTTAGCAATTATTTTTTATATATAATTTCTCTATTTACTACATATTTTATTTATTTACACGGAAGATCACAACTCTGGGACTAACCATGTTCTACTTAGTTTGCACTTCTATAATAATATCTACTGATCTAATTACCGTACGAACGCGGTATAATTTAAGACTACAAATATTTGGGCAGGTAAAATCAAGTATATGAACTGATATTATTAAAATAAGAGGAATATAAAAGTTAACTGTGTCATTCAGTCTTGCATAGTTTTGTTATCTTCATGCTTGCTATTTGAGTTCCATTTTCATTGCAAACATCGACTATCAGTCTTTCTCCCTGCTAAATTATTCAACAGCAGCAATTTATAATTAGAGAAAAAAAGAGTCATATATGATTTGAATAGATGCGCATTTACTTACAATAAAGATCAAGAATTGGGAAAAGATTCTGTGGCTAGTTGAGATCATCTACATAAACTTGCATCAGAATCAGCAAACATACATGACAGAATACAAACTAAAACGCAGAAAGAGATGACTGCTGCATTTGAAATAACTTACAATTAAGACTATAAACATTTTGGCATTCAGTGAGTATAAGTGAGAAGTTAATGCAATGAATAAATGAATGAGTGAATGAATGAATAGATGAATGAATGAATCGTTCGTTTCTGTAGAGATAAAAGGAGAGTTTGATATTATCGGAAGATGAACGAGATGCTATCAATCTCATGTCGTTAGGATTTAATTCTTGAATTACTTATAAGAAATGAAATGATACAAAAGTTACACTAATACAAGAAATATGAGATATATTGCATGTAAGTAGTAATACACGAAAGTTAAAGTATTCTAAATACTGGAAAGTTAGAGGGACTTGAAGATGCAAGCAGTGAAGCAGTGAGACCAGTGAGTGAATGTGAATGACCTGAGAGGGTATACCGCTGCTTTTGCTGAAATGCGAGGTTTACTTACTTCACTGAAGGCCAAGAGGACATATGCTCTGCTCTGCTCGGCGTGCCATTTGATTTATTGCGCTTCATAAGTGTGCTAGCAGTCAGTGTGAGAGACAACGCAGTGCCACCTTGTCACTCCCTTGCAACACATCTTCACACCTCTCTCTCCCTCTTCTACCTCCATACTCTTTTGCACATGCTGCAATTGTTACTGTTACTCACTCTCTCATTCTCTCCCACTCTCTAATTCTCTCTTACTCTCTCGTCTGTTATGAAAAGAAGCAAATTTCCGTTGCAATCTTAATTGTAGCTGTCTGAGTAAGTGAAAAAGACACATCTTTTGAAGTGTGGCAGAGAAATATTGAGATTGATTCTTACGGTGAAAACTAACATGGGAGTGAATCCACGTGAGTAGCGACACCATGGAAGACTAACTAAGCGGTGAGCTGAAAAATTTTTCTTAAGACCGATAAAGAAATTAGAAATAAACCAAAGTAGTAAGTGGTATTTTAAAGCAAATGACGACAGTTTGAATGACTGATAGCCTCTGTGAAGGAAACGACAAAAAGGCGTGAAGGAATTGTTGTTTTCTTCACAAAACAAAAACGAATAATGATAGTATTGAAGGAGTTAAAGGCAGTCAGTGAAATGACGACACTTGGAAATAAAAAGTAGTAGACTAGATGGATTTTAAAGCGCGAACGGCGAGGATTCAAAAGCTTATATCAACCAAAAAATTCGCGAAAAGGGCGTGATCGTAATTGTGAAGAGTGCAAAAAGCATTTTAAGCTAGCTTGTCAATTCACAAGCAAAAATACTGAATATCAGTAAACTAAATTACTCACTGATTTGCACGTACCTTTGAAATGACCTTTATGATAACGCGCTTAAAGTTAGGAAACCATTTATTGTCAGACTTGTCCTCAGTCAGCTGATGGAAAAAAAATATAACAAAGTACAAATTGCAGAATTGCCAAAATCAGAAATATAGAATATCTATAAAATAAATTGAAAACTGTATGATAACTAGACAATAAGAATCTTGTAATAAACAGCAAGTTCCAGCATCTTCGAAGGCAAAATAACTGGAGTTTTTACTAAATTAATTAAATTATTTTCAACAATTTCACTCTTCAAAACTTGCCTTCAATACTATTACATTCATTCTTGCTTTAGCTTTATCTTCATATGATTTGAATTCTGCTTGTTGTGAATGATTTCTCTGGTATTCATCAATGACTGATTCGCAACACAGCCATGGAAAGAGATAATTCTGTTTGCAAATGTAATTGAAATAGAGTGCACACAAAATTCCCTCCTCTGTCGATAGGCAATTCATTTCAGTTGTACAGTTTTATACATGACTTCTTTCCAAAATGTTGTCATCTGATGCAAGAAAGTACTGCATCAGATATTTTCTTCTCCAACTCTAACAGCATTTTCTATTGAATGAGAAAGAATCTAAAAAAGATAAAGATGTTTATGTGTGAACTGAATATTAATCGAAAAAATATTTGACAGCGATTTTTTATAAACGTAAAAAAATTCTTTACTGTTTCAACATAGTTTTTGATAGATTAATATTGAAAGTAAAAAACAGACAGTTGGAGTCGTAATAACTGGATTCGATTTTAAATTTTTGGTTGGTCACTGATTTCTTCTGTAAGCATTGAAAATAGTCAAATATGCTAGTGTGCAATTTGCATAATTGGTTTCCGAATCGCATAAACTTATAAATTCTATTTGCTATCTATTTACACTTTTCTCTGATTACTGGCGATTGCAAATGTCTGATTATTTGACATTGTATCAATAATTTCAAATGTTTGGTCTTCTGACAATTTTTAATGATTGAATTACTGGAAATTTTTACATGTGATACTGTTTGTATTAGAAACATATTAATATTTGTCTACTTTTTATGCCCATCATTCCTATTCATCATGTCATCCATTGTGCTGGTTGAATGTGCTTTAAATATTCCATAATACTTTTTAATCAAAGTGATTCTGGCTTTATCTTGATGAAAACCAGTTAATAAGATTTGCAAATTAAGGATGCTGTCAGCAGCGAACTTTGAAATACTTTTGTGGATGATTATTCTTTCAAGCCTACGATGTTCAACGACTCCAACTGTT